CTGACTTGATGGAATGTCAGGTCACCCTTTCTTGGCCTGGGGATTAGTGGGTCTCAGGTTTGAATAAACACAAAACCTAAAGTATTTTTAGAGAGATTGTGATAAGTATAAATGGAATGAGAAAGAACTGTGCCTATACCATCCTCATCCACCCCTCTCATCCTCCTACAGCAGGGTTGGCCAACCTTTTGTGTGATGTGATCTACTTTTCCACAGTTACCCTGATGCGATCTACCAGCCTAATATTCCTCCATAATAACACCTCCCATTGCCATAAAATATGCAGATTCGTAGATAGAGAGAGGTGCACAAATAATATTTTTCAATAACTGTTATGATATATTGTTAACATGACAAAAGCATACACTTACTTTACTAATCAGGTGGTTAGCATTGCATGTTGTCTGCCAGCTTTGTGTAATTAGGACTGTTGGCGATGACTGCTAGCCTCAAGCAAGCATCCAGGTGTTCATCTGACATTGTTGATTGGTATATGGATTTGATGTGTTTCATATGTGAAAATGTTGATTCACAAAGGTGGGTTGATCCAAAAAATGTTATTAGGTACATGGCACATTTTCTGACATTGGGATATTTTTCTTCACTGAGAAGGTTCCAGAAACTTCCTCCTGTTGCCATGGATTTGATCTGAATATCATTTTGAAGTTTCAGAAGCTCATTTTCGACTTCAGATATGTCCATGTTAAATGCTGATGCCATTCTAGATGCAATATCTTCAACATTTGTGCCTTTACTAAATGGAAAACATATATGTTGCAACAGTTTCTATTGCTGTTATATCTTGAAACTGTCTGTCAAAATCTGAGGCAAGGTATTGCACCTTTTCAATATATCGATCATTGTCAAACTGGTCAAAGTCTTTTCCTTGTACAGTATTTCTAATTCAGACATATTTCTGAAGTTTCGTAGTTGATGTTGCTGCAGCTGCGAAGACACTGGTTTAGTTTCTACCTGAAAGCAGTCACAGCACTAATCAATCTCAGGGTTGGAAAAAATCATGATTTTTAAAAAAAAATAAAAAATCTATTTATTTGATTTAAATAGGACTTTTTTTATTTTTTAACTAATTGCATTAAAATAGTATTTTTCAACCAAAGCTTATTGAGAATAATAAACAATATTGGCATTAAGATATTTATGCAGTGGATGTACCAATGGAATTTAACACAATAATATTCTTTTTGCAAAATAAAAGAAAACTGGTAACATATCTTACATTTGGGTGCACAAATCCAAACGTAATAATGAAATTTAACATAAATGCTCTTATGGGATTACAGTGTTTCAAAAATTAATAACTTAACTTCTTCAAGTCAACAGAATAATATTCTCATTTTGTAAAAAAAATAAGACTGGTAACAAGTTTATTTTCTTACATTTGGAGGGTTATAGTGTATTAAGAATTACCGGTAATAACTTCAAGTCAACACAATATTCTCATTCTGTAAACAACAAAAACAGTTCAAAACATTTAAATTAGCTTAGTTGAACATTGAAATGCTTATGTACTGTGACAAGCTTAGATGCCTTTTCCTGTCCTAGGCGATTTCTTACCTTTGAGTGTACAAATCCATAGTTGGAAAAAATTCTCTCAACCCCTGCTGATGAGGCAACAGCTGTAAATAATTGCCTAGGAACATCCATTACATTTTCTGTCATATCATTGGCAAAATACTGCCACCATGCAAGGGGTGAGAGAGATTTTACAACATCTTTACCAAAATAGACCTCTTTAAATGGTGCACTTCTTCCATGGAAGGACATTAATGTTGAAAGGAAATGTGGAAGAGACTCGCACACATACTGTTCTGCAATGTCTCGCTGCTCAGGAGTCAGATGTGTGCCCTGTTACCTTGGATCTATCACATTAGCTAGAAAATGGGCAGGTGTCAATGCTACTTTGATTCTTTTTTCAAACTTATCCATATCCTTCTTATCTGTTAAATACTCCTTAATATCAGTTTTCAGTTTTACCCAGATTTCTACAGCATCACTTAATAGGGTATGTTCTCTCTGGACACAGTCCAATGCCACAGCAATAGGCTTAAGTCTCTCTAAATAGTCTTCTGCAGTTCTTTTTAATGCCTTATCATTAACTTTCCTTTCAATTTTCTTATCAATGTCTTCACTATTTTCTTTGCACACCTTGACAAGGGTCTCCCAGTTCTTTAAATAAGATTCAATAGAATCTGTTACTGTGTTCCATTGTGTGTCTGATGGCATTACTAGCATTGTTCCTCCTGCTCTTCTATACAAAGATCCTGGGATGTGATGATTTCTGAAGTACTTAATGATTTCAGTAATGTGCTCCCTAATGTTCTTGATTTGCAGGTCTTGTGAAAGCAAATTTCACAGGTGTGCAGAGCAACCATATGTTATAATGGATTTATCTTGTCCGAATTCACTACTCATTTTTGCCATATTAGCAGCATTATCTGTTACACAGCTTCTTACTGTGCATCCAAATTTGTCTTCACATTTTTTTTTGTAGCACATTCAGCTAATTTCAACAGATATTCAGCTGTGTGCCTTGATTCTGTGTCTATAAAGTCAACAAGATAAATACGGTTGTCCGCTGTTAAAGTTATACATACTATAGGCTCATTATGGACATTACTTCATCCATCCATGGCCATGCAAACTGTTTTCCCACTAATTTCTTCTGAATCATTCTTAATCACTGAATCGTAGGCTTGATCCAAAAGAGACCCTCCAATTTGATGTCTATTAGGTGGAACATATCCTGGTCTTAGCATTTTAATCATCTTGATGTTATTAGCCTGCTGCATTGCATATACTTTTCAATCATGTAGAATAAAAAGAGAAAACAGTTATTAGTAAAAAAAATCATTTTGATTTAAATCATGATTTTTTTACTCTGATTTAAATCGATTTAAATCATGTGATTTAAATCATTTGATTTAAATCATATCAACCCTGCTAATCATGTCAACTATAGTTTTATCTTTCCCTTGCAGATCTAAGTTTAGTTCATTCAACATAGCAGTCATGTCAACTAAAAAAGCTAAATCTAACAGGCACACTTCGTTATTGATCAGAAGGCCAATCTTTTGAGGACAAAAACGAAGAAATCTATCATCACTCCTGCACAGGGCAATGAACCCACTGATTCGGCCAGCCATTGCAGGGGCTTTATCAGTTGTTATAGATACAAGCTTACTCACTGGCAACTGTGTACAGTACTATTAACAAAATCACGGAGTCTGAAATATGTCTTCACCCCGAATTTTTCCTTTTAATGGTAGAATTTTCAGCAGTTCCTCTTTGGTACTCATGCCTTTAAATACTATTCTAACGAAAATGCATAATTGTGATGTATTGACCACATCAGTAGACTCATCAAATTGTAATGAAAAGAACACACACTCATGTATGTCTTTGTTCAGTTGTTTACCCAAATCCTCAGCCATAAATTCACAGCGCCTCATGTCAGTGTTTCTTGGTTACTGAACAGTATTTCAGACTTATTTTTTAAATTTTAAAACAACAAATCTGCTGCTTCTAAAAAGGCCTCTTTGAATATTTCTCCATCTTGAAAGGTTTTTTTGTGCTTTGTAAGTACTCGACTCACCCTGAATGATGCAATGGTTGCTGCCCTTGACTTTGAGCTCGCGCCTGTAAAAAGAGTTTGTTGTGCAGTAAGCTGTGATTTCAGTTCATGAACTTTCCTCTTCTGTAGCTCACTTTTGGATGGAAAATCAATATTATACTTCTTGCAAAAACTTTTGAAATGCCTTTCAAGATTTCCTTTCTTAGTTAGAGCTGGAGACGCATGGCAGATCAGAAACACACACTTCAAATTATTCATGGTAAAAAAATAGACTTTTTCCCATTCATTGTGCAAATTTTAAATTTTGGTCTTTTTAGTATTTGGTCCAGAACTCATTTTTGGTTCAGTTGATGGCCAATAACCTGTACAGTATTTGGAAAAGAAAAAGTCGTATGTGAATACGAGAATTACCTTTTTCCATGACTTTTCCTACGTGAATAGGAGAATTACTAACCGTAACAATGTAACGTTTTTAACTTCTTCTTTTCTTCATAAGCAATTGTCGCCGGCTAGTGTGGACACTTCTGTCTACTCTAGGGTTGCGGCGAGAACTGTTGCTAAGCTAAAAAGTCAGTAATTCTCGTAATCACCCAAGACTTTTCCATAACAAGAGACAGCACCTCACACTTCCAAGTATTGCAGACGACTGGAAATCACTGCATTGCTGGTGACAAGTGTGTAGGCTCGTAGGGGCGGGGTTGTCAAATATGATTCTCTGTCTTTACTTTTGAGAAGACTCCTTAATATTGAGTCGACTTTATCATTACCAAATTCATTAATACAAGGTTTAACGTGAATTTCTAAACTTATAAAAGCAAATACAGTACGTGCTTAATTTTAGCCTACAATTGATGACAACTTGCTGACCACTTTCCTCACCAGGAACCAGCCAGCACCGGCCCGTATGAATGCGAACACTTCCTCTCATGTTACACCATGGCACAGTCGAAGTTTTTCTGCATGTATCATTCTGATGTGTCCATAATGATAAACCATTCTAAGAAAAAATCTAAAAAAATAATACCCCAATGATTATGGGTAAAATTTTAGTACGATTTTAGTATGGTAGCTTATGAAGGATGGGTCATTAAGTTTAAATATGCCATGCGATTGACTAGAGAAGGGCTTGTGATCGCCCAGTCGATCGCGATTGCCGGGTTGGCCACCCCTGTCCTACACCATCCTTTTCATGCCTCCTCTCTCCTCTTGTCTCTTCCCACTTCATCTTCATATCCCTCTTCACCTTGTTTCCCATCCTCCTCCATTTTACTTTGTCAGAAATATTATTTCTTGAATTGTAGCAGTAAGTGAATCTTTCATATTTGAAAAGGAATGGTTAAGTTTCCTTTGTCAATCAGAAACACTTAGGAGCTAGGAGTTATACAGAGGTTAGGCAAATTCCTCCATG